TTTTTTAAGTTGTAGGTTTTATGTTTAATTTGCTTTTCTAAATTTTTAGTTTTTTTTTTAAGTTACGTAATGTATGGTATTTATTTTTTTAATTAATTAAATATTATCTATTTAAAATTATGTTTTTTATTAAAAAAAGTTTTATTAAATTAAAATAGTAAAAAAAACAAAAATAAAATAAATAAATAAAAGTGTGGCACCACTTTTTTGGTGTGATAAGTGGTAAAAAATAACATGATGCTTATGTGACAGAAAAAAGAATGCGGTTTCAATAACACCACTAGAGGTTGAAAAAAAGAAAAAATATATATACAAAAAACAAATCCTGTACATTTCAAAGAATAGGCTAATAGCATGCTTTTTGTATCTGACATGTGCGGTACTCAAACAATAAATATACATTAAGAAAGCTATCTAACATCAAAAAGCAAATTATATGCTTTTAGGGAGGGGGATATTAATATGACCCTTTAATGTGCCTTACAAGATTTGTCAGCATCAATTATTTCTATATTCCATAATTGTGTTTATTCACCAAACATGCTTTTTATATAATTATCTATCTACTCAGAAATCAAAGAATCAGTAGCCTAGTGTAGTGATCATCTTATATGAGAGATCAGAAATTCAAAATCTTTATAGAGATACAAGTAGTTATTTAAAAGTAAAATAGTTAGTTTGTCGTTTCAAAAAAAAAAATCTATCTACTCAATAATTCCTTCGTAATAATAATATAAAAGGGAAAATGACTTATTAAGGTAACTAACTATTTCAATTGTCCATATATAGGTAATGTTCTTTTTTTTGTACACATTAAGGTAACTAACTTGTTTTGTTTGTTCACATTTAGGTAATATGACCGGCTATCACCTGTTTTTGCTTATGTGGCATCCACCTGGCATTACGTGGCATGGTGCATATATGGGAAAATGACTTATTAAGGTAACTAACTATTTAAATTGTCCATATATAGGTAATGTTCTTTTTTTTATACACATTAAGGTAACTAACTTGTTTTGTTTGTTCACATTTAGGTAATATGACCGGCTATCACATGTTTTTGCTTATGTGACATCCACCTGGCATATGACTTGAATACGTTACACCTACGTGGCATGGTGCATATTTTGTCTTCATTCGATTACACTATAACTGTGTCATACGATTCCACCCCTAATTCTAAACCCTAGATCGATCGATGATGGCTTCTTCTTCCTCATCTTATTCTTCAAAATGACAAGATGAATTTCAAGCTGATTATCGATTGCGGTTTACCATCTCGTGTGAAGATTTCAAGAACTCCTGCAACATATTCAACAATATTGATTTACCATCGAGTTTTAACGAACTCTAAATTTTCTTCCATGGTTGTCAGGAGTTCTTGAAATCTTCACACGAGATGGTAAACCGCAATCACATGGATGATCAGCTTGAAATTCATCTTGTTTTGAACAATAAGATGAGGAAGAAGAAACAAAACAAGTCATATGTCAGGTGGATGCCACGTAGGTGTAACGTATTCAAGTCATATGCCAGGTGGATGTCACATAAACAAAAACATGTGATAGTCGGTCATATTACCTAAATGTGAACAAACAAAACAAGTTAGTTACCTTAATGTATATAAAAAAAAAAAAGAACATTACCTATATATGGACAATTGAAATAGTTAGTTACCTTAATAAGTCATTTTCCCATATATGCACCATGCCACGTAATGCCAGGTGGATGCCACATAAGCAAAAACAGGTGATAGCCGGTCATATTACCTAAATGTGAACAAACAAAACAAGTTAGTTACCTTAATATGTACAAAAAAAAGAACATTACCTATATATGGACAATTGAAATAGTTAGTTACCTTAATAAGTCATTTTCCCTAATATAAAATCACTCAATCTAGTTTTTTCTAAAGAACTTCACATTTTGATTTTTTCCAATTATGGCAATAAATATAATACTTAATTAAAAATAAAGCTTTTAATTTAATTTTAAAATTTAAAAAACAGGATTTCTTTCTCTTTTTTTTTTTTTTTTTTGGTTTTTCCAACAAAACATTTTGGATTTTATTTTAAACAGAACTTCAAATTAAAAAAATGATTTCAAACAACTTTTGGCTTTTAGTTCCTAAATAATTTTATATATTTATAAATTTTATATATTTATAAACCAACACTTACTTTTACCAAACATTTCATACAAATAAAAGTTTCACCTTTACCTACAAACTTTCGACCTTTTGGCTAGTTTTATGCCCAAAAGATATATAAAAAAACTACAATAGGATGACAATTAAATCCATAATAAGATACAACGCATTCTAAAATTTAATCGGTTTACTATTTAATAAAAAAAAAATTGATCAATAATCCTTCATGATTCCCCACTAAATAGAGTGGTGGTTGACATGTATCGTCATTACACCTAATAATTCCACAAACAACCAAAAATCCTAACTAAATATAAAACTTTAAAAAATATATATATCAGCCACGTAATTCCCCCCACTTGTACCGTACAACCCAATCATGCACTAAATGATAATCTTGTTTTCGGATCGAATCCGAAAAAGAAAGCCGATCCGGAAGCATAAAGTGAGAGTGTTTTGGGTGGGGAGTAACTTTTCAAGATGACACAAATCCACGTCACATCTGGGCCCAATCGGGTCGGAGGACATATAAAGAGAATATGAATGTTGATAAGGACATGGGCCCACTCTCGGACCCGATAATGTTATATGGATTATCCGTTTTCGATGTTACCGGGTCAACATAAAAACACAGCCGCCATTACTGCAATTGCCGAATAAATATAGGTGTACAACGGCGGAGCTCCGTCAGTTTCCATTGCATCTGCTCCTTCGTATACCATTCCGGTGCTAATCTCCGGCGTCGCTGGAGTCGCCGGAGTTTCTTGCCCCTCCGTTGATTTCTTGCTGTACACAAAAGGTTAATTTTAGATCACTTTGATAGATTTTTTCTCGAAGGTACAACTTTTTATGCACAGTTTATAACACTTAATGACTGATTTTCAGAAATTTGTCGTATTATTCTGAAGTTACCGTTGAATGTAACGGTAAAATGAGCCGTTAGCGGCGTAAATATCTAGATATCATATCGCCATTGTCTATAAAATGACGATATTACCCCTCCGTGAGAAAATATCGGGTTTGACTGTTTAATATCAAAGATATCGTGTGGGCAACATAAAGTTGGCGGTTGGCTTGACTATGAGGGCAAAAACGTCGATCTAGTAAGTAGCAACGAAAACTGTGTTATAGTTATACTTAAATAATAGCATTAGAATTAAATAGATTCTTAGAAAAATAATATATAACAAAAGAGAAGTTTGATCAAATATATAATAAAAGAGAAGTTTGATGAATATATAAATCAATTTAAATAGGTGTCTAAATTTTTTGTATTTTACCATTTTTAATACTAGAATCGTAATTGTTTCCAAATGACCGTTGAACTAAGGAATAAAACATCAACGTCTCACAACGACGAGCTTTTTCACGTGTTATTAAGAGAGAACGTGAGGTAAATATGAAAAAATTGAGGGTGTTTTATGTAAATTCACCTGGTGGTCGGAGGTGGGCAGAAAGTGACCTGGTAGTCGGCGCCGATACAGGTGAAGGTACTGGTTTTATCATCGTAAGCATAACTGTAAGCGCGTGGACAGGCTGTCTTGAACAGCTGCGAATAAGAAGATGGTTTACAAGTATCAGGTGCACCATACGCGCCGCTGCAGCAATCCTCTGGTTTCCCAAAAGCCTCACACGCGCTTTTACACGCGACACCTTCTCCGTCACTGTTCATCACCTTCAAAGGTGACGGACACGCGCCGTTTAGGTCCACCATACACCCGGTGTAAGTGCAATTCCGTCCAGATCCGCCGCTGGGAGCCACCAACATCGGGAGGTTATATCCATCAACCAAACTAACATCGAAAAAATCCATTCCACTATCGCCATCGAGAGTAAATTCAGCTAAGGTGGCCGGAGGAGTAGCGCCGGCACCAGCGCATTCTAGTTTTCCAGATCCGCAATCTCCGGTGCCGCAGGTGAATTTACCATCAGAATCTTCGGAACAGTGTGTTCGTCCCCAAAACCGACCACCCCAAGACGACGGTGCGTTGAGTACCTTTGATTCCCCTTTTTGAAGAGCGAAACCTGTAGGTTCAAGAGGTGTAATCCCAGCATTCGATAAAATGCCTGGCCAAATTGTTTGATCACACTTGTTCACAAATGTAAACGTCGCCGACGAAATTACTCCTACAATTACCCAAAAGCTTGAACTCAAAACCATAATTCATTTGAAAAGTTCTAAAATAAAATAAAAATCGATGAGTAATCGAAGAGATTAGCAGAGATTTTAGAGGATTGATACCTTGTATGGGGAATTGTGAGATAACAAGTATTACAAGACAGATCGATGGATATAATTTAGCCATTGTTGGAAGGTAGAAAATCGATGAATTGAAGCGTCACAGTCTCCAAGGATTGAAAATGGAGATATTGTTATCTGCAAGTCGGTCGGAGATTTTATATATAGAGAGATGAGGGTGGTCAGTGGCGGTGGCTAGAAATGGCTGCAACAAGAGGGGGTCCCTCTTTTACATGCCGTTTCTATCTTAAACTAACAGTAGATTTGTTAGATATTTATTATTATTATTATTATTATTATTATTATTATTATTATTATTATTATTATTATTAAAATATGAAAAAATCGATAAAACTAATCAAAATCTTATTACTTTTTCACTTAATAGTTAAAATATCTCAATTAGTCAAGAAAATCGTGAACAATAAACCATGTAATTTGCATAATGGTTTGTGAATGGTTTAGTGTTTGGTGGTTGAATATAAAAAACAAAATAAATAATATATCTACTAAGAATGAACCATAAAAACTAGATCTGGATATCTTACAAATGATCCGGTAATCGATCTCAAAGACAGAAAGGTGTTGTTTGCTCCTTGCACAAAATCTTCTTCTTGCAAAGAGTACCAAACTACCAATACATCAAATGAGAGAGAGAGAGAGAGATCTGTTGTATATAAAGAAGCAAAACTTAAACAATATACATAAAAAAAAGTTATCTAACATCAAAAATGGGTCCTCTGTTATTTACATTAGGGACCCTTTATTTTTAACATTTGTCAAAATTAAAATTTTCCATTATTTTCTTTTTATATTGTTTATTTTTATTTTATTTTGTCTTATATGAACATTTTTCACATGTAATATTATATTTTTAAACCTTTACATCTACATAAAAATCTTATATTATAGTTGAAATTTATTATTTTTTTTTTTTAATTTTTTTGTCATCGTGTTTTTTAAAATTTATATCATTTTGTTATAAATCAACTTAAATTTTATTCATGCTTTGTAATGTTTATATCCTTTTACTATAAGTAAAGTTCATTTTTTTCATAAATGGCATAATCATTTTATTTACTAGTATTTTTTGTTAATAAAAACACAAGATTTAAGTTCATTAAAAATGAATACTATATATATTCTAATAAAATAAGTTAAAAAAGATTTGTCAGCATCAATTATTTCACATTCCATAATTGTTTTTATTCACCAAACATGCTTTATATATATATATATATATATATATATATATATATATATATATATATATATATATATATATATATATATATATATATATATATATCGTTGAGATTAAAAATAAAATAGAGATCTTGAAAATGAACATCAACCACATATTTCATATATGTCGTTCTAAGCCTCCGACTTACCGGTGTGACAGGTCTGGTATAATCATAAATGATTATACAGTGCCACTCATTCATTTCTCCTCTACCACCATCCCTACCACCATAACCGCCACCGCAGCCACCACTACCACCACCTCTGACACCAGTCGACCCCACCATTGTCACCATCGTTACTTATATCAGTGTCACCTCGGTCACCACTACCTATTTTGCTATAAAATATCATAATCATTTATGATTACTCAATCTATGAACATATATATATATATATATATATATATATATATATATATATATATATATATATATATATATATATATATATTAAATAGTGGCACATTTTTTTTTCATTTTGGTCCTCTACTATTTACAAACATTGATCCTTCATTTTTATGTTTTTGTTCACAAACAACCTTTTAACTTTGGTTTGAATTTTTCATAACCCTCCTCTTTTGTTACATATTATTAGTATTTATACTTACAACATTGATCATTCACATTTATGTTTTTGTTCACAAACAACCCTTTCACTTTGGTTTGAAAAATTGTCCCTCACCTACATTTTGGTTATTTTAACGTTGCTTCCTTTTTGTCTTTTTTGGTCCCTGTGGTTTACCAGATTTAACACATTGAGAACAACGATTGAAACCGAAATTACTCTTTTACTCCTAATCCGAATTTTTTATTAATTTATATTTCACTTTTTCGTTTTAAATTAATGTTTTGTTTATTAGAAAATACCCGCCCAATACCATAAAGCCACCCACCATCTGCCATCAGCACTATCACCACCACCGCCAAAATTGCATAAATGATTCATATGGTTTACTCGTGATCACAAATTCAGTCCCTACTACCTGAAAAGAATAAATTACCCTCACATTAATGAACAAAAAGCAACGGTCTATATTTTCCGAATTTTTTTTCCGTCCGCTGTCATACATGGCAATAAAGTTCAATTTGTGACACCATTTCTTTATTTTTCTCATATATTGTAAGAAATAATTATTTAGATTTCTTTACTTATGTAATTAGATGACATTGTTTATTTTCTTTACTGGATTATCTCAATTCAATCCAATATGCTACTTTACTTTACAAAGCAATACATTCCAACCCCGACATTACCGGTAAATCCTTTCTAGTTATCTATCGATTCATATGTCATACTTTCATATCTTTTTTATTTAAACATTTGCTAATAATAATAATAATAATAATAATAATAATAATAATAATAATAATAATAATACCTAATATATTCACATAATACTTCTATTTTTTTTCTAAACTACAACTTCAGCCTTTGATTTTTTTTTTCAATTATGACAATAATATAGTATTTAATTATGAATAAAGCTTCTAAGAGCTTTTAATTTTAACTTTTAGAAAACATTTTTTTTTTCAATAAAACATTTTAGATTTTACTTTAAATAGAAAACTTCAAATTAAAAAATGATTTCAAACAACTTTTGGTTTTTAAAAGATTTTGTATTTTAGTTTATATATATATATATATATATATATATATATATATATATATATATATATATATATATATATATATATAAACTAACAATTACTTTTACCACATTTCGTATAAATAAACGTTACACCTTTAATTACCAACTTTCAACGTTGGCTAGTTCTATGCCCAAAATATATATAAAAAAAACTACAATACAATGACATTATGACAATTAAACCCATAATAAGACACAATGCATTCTAAATTTAATCAGTTTACTATTTAATAAAAAAAAATGGATCAATAACTCTTCATGATTCCCCACTAAATAGAGTGGAGGTTTACATGTTGCTTCATTACACCTAATAATTACACAAAGAACCAAAAATCCTAACTAAATATAAAACTTAAAAAAATATCAGCCATGTAATTCGCCCCAATTGTACCATACAACCCAATCATGCGCTAAATGATAATCTTGTTTTCGGATCGAATCCGAAAAAGAAAGCCGATCCGGAAGCATAAAGTGAGAGTGTTTTGGGTGGGGAGTAACTTTTTGACCCGATAATGTTATATGGATTATCCGTTTTCGATGTTACCGGGTTACCATAAAAACACAGCCGCCATTGCTGCAATTGCCGAATAAATGTAGGTGTACAACGGTGGAGCTCCGTCAGTTTGCATTGCATCTGCTCCTTCGTATACCATTCCTGTGCTAATCTCCGGCGTCGCTGGAGTCGCCGGAGTTTCTTGCCCCTCCGTTGATTTCTTGCTGTACACAAAAGGTTAATTTTTTATCAGTTTATAAAAAGGTACAACTTTTTATGCACAACGTATAACAGTTGATGACCATATTTTCAGAAATTTGTCGTATTCTTCTCAAGTTACCGTTGAATGTAACGGTAAAATGAGCCGTTAGCGGCGTAAATATCTAGATATCATATCGCCATTGTCTATAAAATGACGATATTACCCCTCCGTGAGAAAATATCGGGTTTGACTTATTTAGGTCAAAGATGTCGTGTGGGCAACTTAAAGTTGGCGGTTGGCTTGACTGTGAGGGCAAAAACGTCTTCTAGTAAGTAGTAACAAAATGTGATTATAGTTTAATACTTTAATGTAAAATTTTCATTAATTATATACAATAATATTCTTCTTTAAAAATATTATATCTAACATTTATCTTATCCTAACAACGAAAATTATGTTATAGTTATATTTAAAAAATAGTACTACAATTAAATAGATTCTTAGAAAATTATATTAAAAGAGAAGTTTGATTAATATATAAATCAATTTAAATAGCTGTCTATTTTATTTTATTTTTTTTTTTTTTTTGTATTTTACCATTTTTAATACTAGAATCGTAATTGTTTCCAAATGACTGTTGAACTGACAAATAAAAGATCAACGTCTCACAACGACATGCTTTTTTCACGTGTTATTGAAATAGAGCGTGTTGTAAATATGAATAACTGCAAGGGTGATTTGTGTAAAGATGAAGAAGTAGAGGGTGTTTGATGTTAATTCACCTGGTGGTCTGTCACACCCCCGAACCAGACGGCGGAAACATCCGAGGGCTCGCGTGACTTAAATTGAAATATCATTACAATGTATATACATGAAACATAACATAAACATCATCATGCATCAATATATTACAACTGACATTGTTTACATCAAGTATCTTGTCTGAATATTACACTTCCACAGCAAATTGATTAATAGTTTTTCAAAACATAACATCCTAATACACTTGGTATCGTTCTTCAGTTTATCTGTTACCTGAAAATACAAGTTATTTTGAAAACGTCAACATATAGAATGTTGGTGAGTTCATAAGCAGGGTTGATATGAAAATGTTTTGTGCAGATTATAAAAACCCAGAAAATCCGATATTTTTTGAAACGATAATTGTTTATACCAAAAGTGTGAAGATCCATAGGTTTTATGCATGAATGATTTCAAAAGCGTATATAAATGAGAAGTTTTGCATTATAGTTATTGAAAATCCAAGTGAATAGTGTTGATTTCCCCGAAAAACAAGATGTTTTCCGATAAAATAATATGATTGTTTCGAATTATTATATCGTTACAATGAATGATTATGAATTCCCTTGATTACTTAGATAGTATTTGATTTATTATGTGAGTCGTTATAACCATGCATGATAATGACTAGTTCGTCTGTCTTGGCCAGTGACGAGGCTACATATATCAAAGGTGTGTCACTTGACCCACTGTTGAGAGAAAACACACTTGAACAAACGTTAGAACAAATATATAGCGAATTAGTTAATCTCGAAGGATCTGTTAGCTCAACAATAATATTAAGAGTTAGAAGTTGGTGAGTTAGATGCGGAAAAGTAAAGGAATGTAAATGACAATAATTGTTATTTCAAGTAAACACTTAAGCTGATTCATAACGAGGAATGCATTCAAACCAAGTTAGTAAGTGAGATCAAACTTAGTGATTAAGTCACAAGTGACTTGCTCCAAAGAGAGATGGTGATTGATTATGAGAGTAAGAAGATTGAGTAAGTAAGATACAATGAGAACTTTGAGATGTGTATTAGAAAATGATGAGAAATTCTCTTCGTACAGATTACACAAGAAATGAGTTCTATTTATAGAGACAAGTTTACAACTCTAAAAGTAGCCATGGAAGGCATACTGGACATTAGAGTGTTTTACAGTAAAGACAAAATAATCTAAGTAAAGATAGAGACTGCGGTGCTGAAGATTTCAGATGACGATAGTTGATGAGATTGCTTGACTGCAGTGGCTTGGAGGTCGCGGTAGCTGAAGTTCAAGAGGGTCACTTTTTGATTCAACAATTTCCCCCTAAGTGACCTCTTTAACTTTGATCAGTATCAAGTTTAAGGAACTTGATCAAGATCCACCAAAACTTCCTGATGTTCTCTAACCAGTTGATTCTTTTAATTATTTCAAACTTGACCTCTGCGGTGGTATGCTTGGATTTTTCAACTGCGTTTCGGCAAATCTCAAGTTGTTTTCCGGTGAGACGATGCATGGCAGTCATATGAATGAAATATTTGATGTTGTCAGTCTTCCTCTTGAAAATGACTCCAAGCTCAGGATAATTGGTTGCACCTAAAGATCTTTCCTCATAGCCTTCGGTAGGTATGGGTGCGGGGTCAAGTGGTGGCAAATCAGCAGTCTTGGAAATGATGGGATGAATGTCTGCGTCAATCTCGGCGAAGTCACAGACTGTTTTTTTTAAGAAAAGTACTGGCCCTTTCAAGTGCAATCTTCATCTTCAGATGCTTCTCAGACTTGTGCTGAAAAACCTTGGCGATGAAAAAAACTTCTTCAGGGTTCATACATGGAAAATCAGCCTGGGTGCGGATGTAGTCATGCTCCCTCCTGGTCAGAGTGTACTGGATGAACTCAGCCTTCATGAACTTCCAGATCTTGTAATCTTTTACTGTGGATGGTTTATCATTAGACGATATATGTTCGACGAGAGAGTCATGCTTAGCATAAAATTGGCTAAGTCTCTCGAACTCCATCAAAAGTCTTTTGTCGTCAGGAAGGCTGCGGTCGAACTGCTCAAATACAGTGAAGTATCTGGCATTTGGTGAGATTGGGACATCCCAGTAACCGTCTGAGGGGGGGGGGGGGTTCCACATAGGTAAGATGAGGGACGTAATCATCATCAAGTAGTCTTATATGTGGATTGATCCAAGAGTTTATTAGGGACTCATCCATGACTGTGTCAAATCCGCAAAGTCTCCATACTTCTTCAGCAAGCTTGGCTGCCCTCCAATCACTTTTTCTTTGAGCAGTGGCGGGAGAGTTGTTTGAGCTCGAAGAAGACATATACTCCTCCAGATTCTTGAAGTGCGGGGGAGTCTCTGGTTTTTCAGGAGTATTTTCAACATAAAGAGGGGAGTTGTGATGTGGAGTGTGATGAGATGGTTGCGGTGAGGGTTGTTTTCCAAGTTGCGGTGATGGTTGTAGTGTGGGAATTTTTTCAGTAGAGACTGGGGGAGTTTGATGATGTGAGAGGGATTGGTTGGAATGATAAACTTCTTCACTTCCCCTTCTTGAGGAGTTCAGACCCGGAGCCTCCTCAAGCCATTGACGAAGGCCATCTACCTTGTCAAATACCATCTGAAATTGTGCTTTGAGGGCTTCTACCGAGTGTTGATTATTAGGAATGGAGGGATTGAAGAGTAGTTTATGGATCTCCTTGGTGAGTTGAAGAATTTCCGGACCATGGAAGTTGGCAGATAGTGATCGTTGCATTCTGTTGATTGTTGTTTGGAGAACGGAGATTACGGACTCATAAGTAGTATTAGTCTCAGCAATCAACTTCTCAGAGTGTGATGCTTGATCCGCAATAGCTGCTTGAAGATCGGTTTTGATTGCGATAACCTCAGAGATGAGGCGTTCCGTAGCAGCCATAAATTCCTTGTGATCAGCTTGACGATTATTGTCAAGTGATCTGATTCCCATCTCAACCTTCAGAGAGATACGCTCTGCAGCCATTCTCTCTCTGGTTTCCAACCTTTCTATTCTTTCCATTAGGACTGCGGTCCAGGATTGTCTTCTGGTTGCGGTTGATTTGGCTTGACCGAAACTAAGATTTGATCAACCTTAGCCTGAAGACTGAGAAATTCCTTTCTTGTGACTGCGTTTTTCTTCTTCTTCTTCTTTTCCTTTGGCTTAGTAGTGGAGTGATGAGAACCACTGGATTCTTCATCTTCATCAAACATCATCAGATCGTCATCAGAATGAGAGGGTTTGTTTACCTCTTGTGGTTCATCATCATCGAAACCAAAGATGGGAGATTTCAGGTTCGTCATCTTGTGAACCTGCAACAGTGGGAGAGGGGGGAGCTTGAGAGACATGCTGATCAGCACCTGTTTTCTGAGCTTGTTGAACTTTTTCTGCCATTGCGGACATCCATTCTTGAACCTTCAGGATGGTGGCTACGGTATTGGCATTGTTTATGGCATCTGCCCAATACTTGGCCACGGCTTGGATCTCTTGTTCCTTGAGCTATTGTTGCTTGATTTGATGATCCTTGCGAGCTTGGAATGCCCTATGAAAATCGGAATATTTCTTGGCTTCAGCCTCGTTAGAGGGTTGATATCTGCTCCAAGAATCATTAGAATCTTCTCCGTCATTTCCTGTAAATCGCATCAAGGTGTCCCTTGGGTTCACGGATCCTTGCACATTTGTGCTCACCGTGCCTAAACCACCTGATTATAATGTAAGCAGAGTAGGATTTCCTGAGCTTCCTTGGTCTCCTTGACCCGTGGTCAAGTTTGGCCTCGGCTTAGTTCTGGCATAGGCGGAAGAAGTGGCCTTCAGATGGGTATGTGTTTGTAGTGTTTGGGTGACGTTCAACTGGATGGAGTTCAACTCCTCGGGTGAAAAGATATGCAGTCGGGAAGCCCTGGAGACTTTAGGGCGAGAACTAGTATTATCCCTTTGGGAATGTACTAGTGGGGAGTCTCCTCTTCGCTATGATTCAGACTCACTTTCTGAGTCTGAAAGGAAAAAGATAGTGTTATCAAATGGATGTGCAGGCATCCCAAGGACTACCGAAGCCTATTGAGAGGCTGAGGTATCAGAACAGTCATGAATTTGGCTAGTGGGATCGGGTTTCCGTTTCTTGAGGATAGAAATGGGTTGGTTATCCTCTTCAGAATCACTACCGGAGTCATGATGACTTGGTTCAACAGTTGTGATTACGGGTGGTGATTTTTTTTTCTTGGAAGGTTTGGATGGTTTGGGGGCATCCTTTTTGGGAGTTACAGATTTCTTTGTGGTGCGGGGACCATGGAGAGAAGAAACCCTATGTTTGCGTCTTTGAGAGACGTTAGAAAGAGTTGTAAGGGAAGAAACTACGATACCTTCAGGGTTTAAGGCTGCAGATGGGAGAGGCGGGGTAGGAAGGTATGGGTCAATACCTTCCGTAGCCTCAACGTGGTCTGAGACATCAGCAGTCTCGAGACCAAGGGAAGTGAGAATATGTGTAGGGAGTCTGCGGATAGTTGATTAGAGGAAGCGTTGTACCTTTTTTAGTCTTTGGTGACAAAGAAGTTGATGTCATCACCCATGTTAATCTTTGCATCCGCATGCAAGTCAGAAATACAGAGAGACCAGAACCTAGGAAAAGTAAGCTCGGATGGGTTCTGCCTTGGGCTCTACTTGGGAATATATTGTAGAAAGTCATCCCAAAGGATCTGACCGTAGTTCACATCGCGACCTGTGAAGATGCTCCAAACCATTTCCAATAACTTTAAGCCCATGTTGTCCGTGCCTTCGGTTCTACCGGACAGACTTCGGATGATGAAGTGACAAACAAACTGCCAGATCACAGGCAATTGGTTCTTCTTGAATTCACCAATGCCTTTGATCTTCTTCTGTAGCCCATTTGATACAGTGCAAAGGTGATGTCCGCCATTGATGGTGTGAAAAACTTAACAGAGGGATGAATCAGAAGGTTAATGGCTGAAAGAAACTTTTCTTTGGTCAGGATGACCAAGGAATCATTGATGATGTTTAGGTGGACTTCTTGAGGGTTATCGATTGGGCGATAGGCAGAGAAAGCACACTTGTAGAGAGTGGAGAGTGGAACAATGTCTGTAAACGCATCAAAAGGTCCAAACAGGGGATGATTCTTCAAGAACTTGATCATCGGTTTTGTTGGAGCATTGTATGTGGGATGATCGTCGAAAAATTATCTGAAATTGATCGAGGCAATTGTGGGAGAATCTGAACCAGTTGGGTTCACTAATCCAGAAGCTTTGGATTGTTTCTTGGAAGCGCCGGATTTCACCATTGTTGAGTTGGTAAGAGCTTGAAGAATGCAGAAAAGGATTGAGGGTTTTGAGATTGTAAAAGTTTCTTTGTGGAGAAGAAAAGGGTTTTATATTGGTTTATTGGAGCGGGAAACGTTTATGTTTTTGACCTAAGTGAAATTGGGTAAAAAATGTTTGGGTTTATCTTTGAAAGATCATCTTTAATCTTAACCACAGATTGACAAAAAGGGATAAAGATTGAAATTGGGATTAACCAGAAAAAGAACTCTGCATTTAATGAAATGTCAGATGTAGAATCACGTCTTGAGAACGTGTGGAGGGGGTGAGAAAAATCCGTTGAATAAAGTAGAAGTTATAACATATGTGATGGTTTGGGGTAATAGGAAAAGACATTTTAGAGGATTTGATTTGGAAAATCTTTTATTTTGTCATCATACCTAAAATAGGTCTGACACTAGGTTTTTGGAAGAAAAGAATGTGACAGTTTCTCAAAGGAATGTTTTTATTTAATATTTATTTAATGAAGGATCATTAAATAGCACACTATGTTTTTTTTTCAAAAAGAATGAACCGTCTGTAAATCAATTAATGTGACTGCAGATGAACACATTATTGCGGGTGGCTTCTTTGGTATTGCGGATGATATAATATATGGTTGCGGTACATTGACTGCGGTACACAGGATGTTCCAAAACCATCTATTATCAATAACTTTCAGTTAGAACCGCAATGGAGACCAGGAAGGTCTGCGGTGCCTGTCAATTCAAGAAGAATTTAGGGTCCGGATTCATCATTCCTAACATTTGTAAGAACACATTGAGTTTGGTAGAGTCAAGTGCTTTTGTAAACACAGCAGCAATCTCTTCATGAGTAGGGACAAAGATGAGTTCCATATTACCTTTCAGAATATGGTCTTTGATAAAGTGATATCGTAGTTCAATATGTTTTGTCTTGGAGTGTTGAATAGGATTATGAGAAATCGCTATGGCACTTTCAGAATCACAATAGATTGGTATCCTCAACATTCTGTATTCGTAGTCTAACAGTTGTGTCTTCATCCAAAGGACTTGGGAACAGCAGCTGGCTGCGGCCACATATTCAGCTTCTATGGTAGATAATGAAACACAACTTTGTTTTCTTGAGGACCAGCTGACGAGTCTACCTCTTAAAAATTGACATCCACCATATGTACTTTTTCGATCAAGTTTGCATCCAGCATGATCCACATCAGTAAACGCTTGAA